GAAATAATGAGTTGGTTGAGCTATATTATAAATAAACCACATATATTAAATAGTTATTCTAGTGGTATTGGTTATGAATTGGAATGTTGGCGAAGCTATTTATGGATACGAGTAGCGAAGAATTTTATATAGTGTAATATTATGTTAGAATGTATATAGCTACTTTGGTTAATGGCATTGTATGTTTAATGCATGGTAGGATGATGGTGTACTTTTAATGTACAAATATGTGCCAAACTAAAGTAGTCTTGTTAGCCATAAGGCACTATGGTAAGGTTGTATATAGGGGTGTAAGTGAGCCGAGCTACTCGTGAGCTACTCGGGATCGACTCGTTAAAAGCTCGACTCGAGATCGAATTAAACGAGCCCGAGCCGAGCTCGAGCCTAAATATGAGGCTCGTTTATTAAATGAGCTCGAGCCGAGCTTCAATTAATGGGCTCGCGAGCCTAAACGAGCTTAAACGAGCCTCTATATATATATATATACACACACACACACATACATACACACAAACACACACACACACATATATATATATATATACACACACACACACACACATAGAGGCTCGTTTAGGCTCGATTAGGCTCGTGAGCCCACTAAATTATTCATGAGCCGAGCTCGAGCTTCATTTTAAGGCTCGAATCGAGCTCGAGCTCGAGCTCGAGCTTCCTCAAATTAAACGAGCCGAGCTCGAGCTTTGTCAGGCTCGAGCTCGGCTCGGCTCGTTTACACCCCTAGTTGTATACCTTGATGGATTTATAGAAAAACCGGTAATATATAATGAGCTTGTAGCTCTGAAATTAATTGTAGTCTAGGTGATTGTAATACTATAATTTGGAGAATTAAAGTTAATGGCAAACTTAGTGTATGTAACACAATACTTTTAGATTGAGGTTAAAGACTTAGTGGTATGCTTGTTGTTGTAATCACCACTGTGTAAGAATTGGTTGTTGGTGGTATGTTTATTGTTGTAATTACCAATGTATTAACTTTGATGCAAGTATTGATTGTAGTCGTATGCATGGTGTTGATATACCACTGTAATGGAATACTTTTAGTCACGATAGACTTGGTGATTGTAATATCATGGACTAATTTAGTGGTGGTCTTATTAACTTTAACACCACGCTAATAGGATCAATTATTAGTGGTGGTATTAGTGATTGTAATACCACAGTAATAGGAACATTTATTAATGGTGGTCTTAGTGAATGCAACACCATTGTATTGAAATTAGTCATCAGTGATGGTCTTTGTGAATGTAATACCACAAGGTTTTAAGATGTATAAATGCTTGTAGGTTAGCATTACATTATGATAGTATTATTGGTGGTTGTGATGTTATATTGTTTATTATCATTGGATAATTAAAGTTTAAGAGTGGCCTTGGTTGCCGAATAATAAGGTATAGCCTAGCTCGAAGCTATGTGAATAACTTCACTACACCGAACCAGTCATATACCGAATAAGGTATATACTGAACAAGGTATATATCGGGATAGGTATATACCAAATCAAACGCATATTGAACCATAGATAAAAAAGAAGAAGGTATAAAATAACATCACAACAGTATCATAGTACATGGGAGCACAAAGAAAACATCCTGTACAACGATATGTGACTAATGGATCCATCGACTAACAAGAAACAGATGTTAAACGACTATAGATTAAATAAAAGTCTATCTACCAGTGTACGACCATTAATGCGATAAGATAGCAAACCTGCTCGGTACATGAAGAGGCCGTAACCTTTTCACAGCGACTATAAAAAAGTGACAAAAATACTCTACAAGGCACACAAACATATACAGTATTCGATTACGATCCACTTAATTTTTGATATACTTTTTAAGGTCTTTTCTAACTTTATCGTCAAATCGTTGGTTTGGGATCCCCTTCGGGCCAATCAGCTTACAAGTTTTTTGATGTCTCCAAGTTAACTGAACAATGAAGTAATCGATAACTCTCGCAGACGATGGAAGGTGAACTCGGGGACACATCAAGTGGTGCCATCTGTGGGACTCTATGACAGATAGACAATGAAGAAAACCCAGTTGTTGAAGAGAGTCCTATCAAGAGAAAGCAAAATCTCAAAGGAAACAAAGAAAAGCCACAAATTGCAACAGTGAGAAACAACAAGAATATGATACTGAAGGGCCTAGAAGAAGAAGGAAGAGAAATAAGTCAAATGAATTTAGAGGTGGAAGATATGGAAATCAAAGATTAGGAAGCCTTCAAAAGTTTTAGAGCCATGAGAAAGTGGAAGATAGAAATAAGTGATATGAGGGGTCAAAAAGAGAAAGAATGTGATTTGCTCTCTATGCACACCAGTTCAACAAAGGACTCAGGAGAAATGGAAGTGAAAACCAAAGGAAATGAAGAGAAACTGAGTTGAAAAGAAAAAAAAAAAAGGAGGCAAGTTCAGACCCTTTATGCCTTGAAGAAACAAAGATGAACTCTCAAAAATATTGAGAAGTATCACCGGAGATAGTAGAGGCAAAGCATTACAATCAAACCTTTGAAAATTTAAACTTATGGTCAACATTTATGGATGATATCAATTATAATACCATTCCAAAAGTGCTTCATGGACCCAGAGTACCGATATATGATGGAGCAGGAGACTTAGACGACCATGTCTCAAATTTCTAGTAGGTAATCAAGATGATTCCAATGGACCCGAAGTTGCGGAGTTTATACTTTGTAGGAACTTTGGATGGATCCACTAGATATTGGTTGGAAAGTTTATCCCATAAGAGTATAGGAAGCTTCGAATAGCTGTGTCAAAAGTTATGTGATAGCATTATTCAACAAAGGAGATTCCAACAGCAGGTACACACAATATTTTCCTATATAAAACAAGGATAATCCAACAAAGCCTACCTCAAGTGATTTAATGAAATCACTCGATAAATGCCAAGCAGATATAACCCTACGATCATAGCGGCCTTTACTTATGGGCTCTTGGAGGGAAATTTATTTCGCAATTTGGTAGGAAGATAGTGGGTAAATGCAAAAGATATGCTATGCACGGTTAACCGCTTCCTAAGACAACTGGAATAAAGTGAAATGAAAGAAAGAATGGAGGAAAAAGCGGTCGTAAGAGGGGGGGAGATGAGAAGAACGAACCAAATAACATCATGCGGCATTTGTTAATAACAACCCTCAGTTCGGTCAAAATCAAAGATTTATACGAAGAGGGAGAAGCAGGAAACATGACTGATACCAACCATATCGGCAGAAGATATATAAAGTGTACACTCCCATAAACTCAAATAAAGAAGGTAATATTAACCGATGCAATAAATATCTTCGGGAACCGAACAAATATTAGGATTTCCATAAAAATTTGGGTCATGCAACTAAAGATTTTCAAATTATGAAGAGAGAAATTGGGAATGAAAATATCGAGTGATAGAAGACAGATGGAATGGTTCATACATCTTGGAGAACATGGAAGGAGTCCTATTTTCAAGAACATGGAATACACGAAACCTTCATAAATTCCATTTCTAGGATAGTAATAGTCACAAATTAGCCTATAGTCAATAAAGAAGTTTGCTAATAGCGTTAAGTGATAATCACCTTTTGTGTACCATTGATAATCACCTTTTGTAATGCATTTGATTACGACCTTGAATGCAATCGTTTAACTCTTGATTGATAACATTTGACTACATTTTTATGAAACATGAACAACAAGTCTTTTTAGCTTATGGTTCGGTCACTATAATCCACCAAATTATGGTTCGACACAACTTTCATTAAATATAAACCATAAGTCTTTGTAGTTTATGATTCGGTCACCATGATCCACCAAATCATGGTTTGACTGTATTTTCATTGAACATAAACCATAAGTCTTTGTATCTTATGAGTTGATCACCATGATGCACCAAATCATTGTTCAACCCTATTTTTGTTAAATATAAACCATAAGTTTGTGTAGCTTATGGTTTAGTCACCATGATCCACCAAATCATGGTTCAACCCCATTTTCATTAAATATAAACCATAAGTCTTTTCAGCTTAAGTTTCGATCACCATGATCTACCGAATCATGGTTCGACCCTATTTCCATTAAGTATAAACCATAAGTCTTTGTAGCTTATGGTTTAGTCACCATGATCCACCAAATCATGGTTTGACCCTATTTTCATTGAATATAAACCATAATTCGTTGTAGCTTACGGTTCGGTTACCATGATCCACCTAATCATGGTTTGACACTATTTTCCTTAAACAAAAACTATAAGTCTTTGTAGCTTATGGTTCAGTCACCGTGATCCACCAAATCATAGTTTGTCCCTATTTTCATTAAATATAAAATTATAAGTCTTGCTAGCTTATGGTTCGGTCACCATGATCCACCAAATCATGGTTCAACCCTACATTCATTAAATATAAACCATAAGTCTTTGTAGCTTATGGTTCGGTCACCATGATCCACAAAATCATGGTTCGAACCTATTTTCATTAAACATGAACCATAAGTCTTTGTAGATTCTGGTTCAGTCACCATGATCCACCAAATCATGGTTTGACCCTATTTTCTTCAAACATAACTTTTTGTAGTTTACAAATTGGTATTATGAATCACCATGATTTACCAAATCATGGTCTGGCTATATCTTTATTATTAAACATAAACTATAATATTAATCAAGCTACCACTCAATCTCGGTTTAATATTATTATTAGCTTCAACATTGACCAAATTTACACGCATCAAACAAAAGAAGATAAATCGAATCAAATTTCGATACAATTTAGAAAGAAATTTCAGGCAAGTACACCAAGATTGCAAGTCAGTGGGTACAAGTAAAAATGAAAACACAATATTATCTAAGCATTCCAGTTTAACCATACAAATAAGGAAATAACAAAATAATGGACACCTTCTTTTACAACCCACTGGAAGTCTGAGGTGACCCGCTTCGATATCGTTTATTATTGAAGCACATTATGATTGATAGAGGTTTGGAGCTTGCCTAGAGATGCAATTTGGGCATCTTTTTCAGAAACAACATTCTTGAGTTTTCCTCAATCAATTTGATGCTCGCATCCTTGCCCGAACATGCAATCGATAGCTGCGAAAATGTTTTGGTATATTGAAGCTTCAAAGACCTAAATTGTTGAGTTTTCTCTTTCAACTCTTGGTTTAACCCCAAATGACGACCAACTGCATCGTCAAATTTGATTTAACACTCATGGCTCAACTTTTATAGTTCTTCTTGGCAGCGAAGGCTCTCACTTAAGCCATCAACCAATCGCTTATTTCTCTTTGATAAACGATGCACCTCTTCACGAAGATCATTTTCCTCTACCTCCAACTGCTCATGAAGGACACACATCCCCTTCAATGCCTGGAAAGCTTCCTCAAACTTCAGTTGCTTCCTAGTAAGGATGCTAGAGCAGAAAAAAACTTCATTCAGAAGATGGATTCCTTCCATCATCAAGAACGAGCTCGGTCAAGGCTCTCCTCATCAGAAGCATCTACAAGTTTAGGACTTTTAGGAATTGAGGTCATGGCAAATGGTCATTAAAATTGAGGTAATGAAGCGGAAAATGTAGCAAATGTATGCAATGAGCCTCCTTAACAGAAGAGGGAATAACTGAAATATAGAAAAAAAGAAGTAACCTCATCTAAAGAAGAACATAAAACAAAGAGAGAAATCAATATAAAGCACTAAAACAGTATTAAAAACATACGAGTTTGTTATGAATTCTTATACAAGGCATCAAGATATAGTTTAACTTGAGATTCAACCCCGAACAACGTGTTAGCATCGTGAACTTCCAAGGGAGTAACACTCGAACAAACTGTAACAACTAAATCTAGAATAAGATGCACAACCGTTACAATTGTAGACTCAAATTTTGACGCTTGAAAGAGCCCATATCAGGCCCCAAAAAGTTTTTGTTGGAAGATAGAAACTACATACAAAGTGGAAGGAATTTGATATTTTGATGATGGTTCAAGAGATTCAACAACAGGGGTTCTCAAGATTTGGAGTTTCAATCTAAGGTTAGAAACTCTAATGTCTAGAGTGTTGGGTTTTGAGCAATCTAACACTTCCTAAGTGTGCATGCAACCCTAATAAACCTTGGATCTATGTTTGTCTAAATACATGCAAAATATTAATTTTCCAAGGTTTATAACCTATCTAACATGGCATGGGGAACATTTCAACATAAAAGAGTTAGAAGAGATTACATACCTTTTGGTGAGTTTGGTTCTAAGGAGTTTGAGGGCCAAGCACCAATAGTGTGAATGCCTCAAATGGAATCACAAACACCACAAACTCTTGGAAAACTTTGATGAGAGTATACACCTTGTATAAATCCGCCACACACATGCACACACACACTAGTTCACTAGTTTTCTCTTAGGCTTCATTTCATGCTCCATAAGCATCCTTATATAGTGTGCATGGTTAGGGTGAAACCCTAATAACCCATGTCTTTTCCTTTTCCAAGGATCCATGGGTTAAAAGCTCCATGGATCATCCATGGACTTCCACATAAGCCTAGCCCATTAACAAATGAGTATTAGCCCACACTATATAAAACAAATAGCCCATAATTTAATTAGTATTCCTTTTAATCTCTAAATTAATTCATAATTAATTTAAGACTAAAACTAATTAAATAACGTAACTTCATATTAATATATTATAACTCATAATATATTAATAAACATATGTGTATAACTCTCATAAAATTATCCATAATAGTTTGGATGAGATGCAACCCAAATGGACCATGCCGGTCGGGTCAAGTATATACCAAATAAGTTATGGACTTAGACACCTTATCCAACAGACTCCCACTTGGATAAGTCTAATAACTATATTTGCCTATAACTTCAGGAACCAACCAACAATCGTAGCTCTCGAAAACTCCCTCGAACAATGAAGACTCTGTCGAACTATGAAGCGCCATTTTAGATAAGTGATCACATAATCCTCTGTTCTCATGATATCAGCCGGACAAACACATGGAACTATGTCTTGCTTATTGTCTAGCAGTTGTTTCTCGATTTTCCGATTTGTTTGACGAAGAACTTCACTGAACACATCGGTTTAGTTCTGACCAGGCCTGGTACATGGGTCAACACAAAATCATCGAGGGGCCCAGATATCGCTTCTATTTCTAGAAGGAACAGATAAACTTCGACTGATATGCTTGTTCTACTACTTATTGAATTGTACACAAAGGCACGTTTTATAACATCAAGTTACTGATGCGTTTACGTGCAATCAATGCACAACCAACTCATAGGTAACAACTCATATCTCTAGGTTTAAAGATTTATATGATGTTATCGTCTCACGATCACTCGAGATAAATTCCATGAAGTGATACAAGTGAGCGTGGGTTTATACCAATACTCATAACTTATGAGTACTCATGAATGTTGCAGCAACCATTGCCATGTCTAAACACCTTTAAGGCATCTACAAACCCAATTCATGACAATCTTGATTCATACCTACTTCCGACGTATGATCGATTGTGGAGGTTTGAATAAATTAATTATTCTGGAAGTCAAAACATGCAAAACTGAAACAATAGTAAATAATTGACAATGATAGTAACACTTTACTCATAAATAAATCACAAATTTTATTCATCATCAAACGTCGATTACATTTTACAAGTTTCAGGAAAACTATCTAATCTGTAAAACTAATATCGTCCCTCAGCCCGATGCGTCTCGCATGCTGAAAATGCTTAACCCTCGTCAGTCCCTTCGTAAGGGGATCTGCAGGATTCTCATCCGACGATATCCTCCTTGTCACAAGGAGTCCTTCTTCAATCTTGTGTCTTATGAAGTGATATTTTCTGTCAATGTGTCGGGATCTGCCATGATCTCTTGGTTCCTTGGCTAAGGTAACCGCACTATTGTTGTCACAGAAAATCTCTATAGGTTCCTTAATAGCTGGTACAACTCCAAGGTCTCCGATGAAGTTCTTTAGCCATATCGCCTCCTTCGCTGCTTCACTCGCTGCTATATACTCTGATTCACAAGTCGAATCAGCCACCGTCTCCTGCTTGGAACTCTTCCAAGAAATTGCCCCTCCATTTAAGGTAAAGATCCAGCCCGACTGAGAGCGGAAATTATCCCTATCAGTCTGAAAACCAGCATCACTATACCCTAATATTCTCAAGTCATCACTGCCACCAAGGGTAAGGATCCAATCCTTAGTCCTCCGCAGGTACTTGAGAATGTTCTTTACCGCGGTCCAATGAGCCTTGCCAGGGTTCCCCTGATACCTGCTGACCATGCTCAAAGCAAATGCCACATCAGGACGGGTACAAGTCATAGCATACATGATCGAGCCAACTGCGGAAGCATATGGTAATTGGCTCATCTCAGCTATCTCTGCCTCTGTACTCGGACTCTGAGTCTTACTCAGTTTGGTATTGCTTTGGATCGGTAAATCTCCTTTCTTGGAATTCTCCATGTTGAACCTTTTCAACACCTTATCCAAGTAGATACTCTGACTAAGTCCAATTAGTCTTCTACTCCTTTCTCTTAATATCCTTATCCCTAGGATATAGGTAGCCTCCCCTAGGTCCTTCATAGCAAAGCACTTCCCAAGCCAGGACTTAACCTCCTGCAAGGTTGGGATGTCATTTCCTATGAGTAGTATGTCATCCACATACAGTACCAAGAAGCTAACTATACTCCCACTAGCTCTGACATACACGCAAGACTCATCTTCGCTTCTCAAGAAGCCAAACTCTTTTACCTTCTCATCAAAACAAAGATTCCAGCTACGAGATGCTTGTTTTAATCCATAAATGGATTTCTCAAGCTTGCATACTCTATTAGGGTACTCTGCATTGACAAAACCCTCTGGCTGATTCATGTACACATCCTCAGCCAACTTTCCATTAAGGAAAGCGGTTTTGACATCCATTTGCCATATTTCATAATCATGAAATGCTGCAATGGCTAACATAACCCTAATAGACTTAATCTTTGCTACCGGCGAAAGGTTTCATCATAATCAACACCTTGAGTTTGAGTAAAACCCTTCGCAACCAGTCGAGCCTTATAAGTATGCACTTTTCCTTCCATGTCTGTCTTCTTCTTGAAGATCCATTTGCACCCGACTGTTTTACGGCCTGGTACATTGTCAACCAAGTTCCAAACTTGATTGTCATACATGGACTGTATCTCGCTGTCCATAGCCTCCTTCCATTTAGCAGACTCCGGGCCTGCCATGGCTTCCTTAACACTGCTAGGTTCATCCAAATTTACTAGTGTACTATCACTAATAAACGTATCACCTTCCGTAGTAATATGAAAACCATAATAAAACGAAGGTGTGTTCCTAACCCGTGTGGAACGCCTCGGAGGTACAGACTCGTCAGCTGGATCAACAGGAGTTTCCTCCTCAGGTTGATTGCTAGTGTCTGAGGTTCCTTCACCAATTGATTCTTGAATTTCTTCAAGATCAATCTGCCTCCCACTGTCTCCTTGGCTTATAAATTCTTTCTCGCGAAAGATCCCTCTTCGTGCTACAAAGACCACATTCTCACTGGGTCTGTAGAAAGGTAACCGAAGGATTTCTGTGGGTAGCCGATGAAAATACACCTTTCACTTCGGGGTTCAAGCTTATCATGAGTTTCACGCCTCACGAAGCTTCGCAACCCCAAATTTTGATGTGGTCCAAATTGGGAACCTTCCCAGTCCACATCTCATGAGGTGTTTTGGTAACCTTCTTTGTAGGGACTAGATTAAGGATATGGGCGGCAGTCTCTAAGGCATACCCCCAAAAAGAGATTGGTAACGAAACTCGACTCATCATAGAGCGAACCATGTCCAACAAGGTTCGATTACGCCTCTCAGCTACACCATTCAGCTGTGGTGTCCTGGGAGGAGTCAATTGTGAGACAATCCCACACTCCTTAAGATAGTCAAGGAACTCGGTACTAAGATACTCACCACCTCGATCGGATCGAAGCATCTTAATGTTCCTGCCCAATTGATTTTCTACTTCCTGCTTGAATTCCTTAAACCTTTCAAAGGTTTCGGACTTATGTTTGATTAAGTAGACATACCCATATCTACTAAAATCATCAATAAAAGTCACATAATACCGATTAGCATCCCTTGTGGCGGTTTTGAATGGCCCACATACATCAGTATGTATTAGGTCCAACAAACCTCACCCCTCTCACAAGTTCCAGTGAAGGGTGATTTTGTCATTTTTCCAAGTAGACAAGATTCACAACTATCATCTGATTTAAGGTCAAATGATTCCAAGACTCCACTCTTTTGGAGTTGGCCTATGCGTTTCTTGTTTACATGTCCAAGACGACAATGCCACAATGATGCTTTATCTAGGCTAGTAGAAGAATCAATATACAACACATTATTTCCTAAGTTGTCTACAATCGACACAGTTTCATACACACCATCACAAGGTAATGCTTTAAAATAAAACACATTATTAAAGAAAGCATTAATACCACCACATTCATTATCAAACGAAAAGGTAAAACCTTGTTTGTACAAAGCATGAAAAGAAATAATATTCCTCGCCATTTCAGACGAGTACACACATTTATTCAAATCTAATTTTAACCCATTATTAAGCAACAAAGTATAAACTCCAATCTTGGAAACAGGTGAAGCCTTCCTATTCCCCATGATTAAGTTTATCTTCCCGTGCTCCACATCCTCACTTCTTCTTAGGCCCTGCAAATCAGAACATATGTGAATACCACATCCTGTATCAAGCACCCAAGAGTTAGAATATGTTGAGTAATTAGACAATATAGTGTAAATACCTGCATAGGTGGGTTTCACTTTCCCATCCTTTAGATCCTGCAAGTACTTAGGGCAGTTTCGCTTCCAGTGTGCCTTTTCATGGCAATAAAAGCATTCAGCATCCTTGGGAATGGCAGAAGGAGTGACAGAACCGTTCTTAGTCTTTGATGAGGAGCCTTCAAGAGACTTTCCCTTGGTACCCTTCGAAGGGTGCTTCCTCTTTTTCCCTTTGCCTTGCCCAATAGCTAAAACAGGGGTAGAAGTTGGAGTAGGAGTAGTAGAGGTAACAACCGCTTTACCCTTAAGACCGGTTTCAGCGGTCTTCAAGAGTCCTTGAAGCTTGCTGAGGGTAACTTCCTCCTTGTTCATATGATATGTCATTCGAAAATGATCATAACAAGAAGGCAAGGAGTGCAAAATGATGTCAATTGCCAACTCCTCGGGGATGTTAACATTCAGCTTCAGCAAACGGTCCACATACCTTTGCATCTTTTGCATGTGGCCCGTGACGGATTCACCGTCCTTCATGCGGGTAGTTATTATGGAGGAGATTATTTCATACCGCTCCTGACGAGCACTCTGATGGTACCTTTCCATCAGGTCTTGGTGCATCTCAAAAGGGTAGAAATCTTCATACGACTTTTGGAGCTCGGCTGTCATCGTGGCCATCATGATACATGCCACCTTAGTAGCATCTCTCTCATGAGTCCTGAATTCAGCGATCTCCTCAGGAGTAGCAGTAGACTCATCAAGTTCTTTTAACTCCTTATCGAGGACATATTCCTTGTCCTCGTAACGAGTAACCATCCTGATGTTCCTAATCCAATCCATGAAGTTGGAACCATCAAAGATGACCCTCCCACAAAGATTCATGAGAGAGAAAGAACCAGTTGGGTTAGAGCCTGAAGCATTAGTGTTGGAAGACATCTGAAAGAAGAAAGTAAGTTTAGATTAGATATTTAGGATCCTTAATAAGACACCCAAATGTAATATTAAGGCTAGGATCCAATCACAATATATTACACTTAGAAGAGGGATGCCGTAATCTAAGTAATAATATATTTGAAAGGTAGGTGAATGACGATTCACCAATTTCCACCATGAAAACGAAATGATTTATTAGGTTTAATTGGATTTGAAATTCCTAGATTCTTTTGAGATTCATTGAACTTTTCAATGGCATGTTTCAATCTCGATTGTGCCCTTCAAGTTTTGTGACTGGGATGCCGAGGATCACAAAACAAGGTGTGAATAACCATGCTAATTCACTTGGTACTCTTAATATTATCACCTAATCAATGTGCCGGTTAACCACACACGCTCCATTGATCTATGACAAACATTAAGTCACCCTTCGTGATCCTTACTAGTCCTAGTTAGTGTGCCGGTTAACCACACACGCTCCACCAACGACTTGGTAAGGTACAAAGTGTGAATTCCATGGACTAGCACCATGTTCACATTTTCCTAAAATAACTAAGATTGGGAATTAAAAGAGTTTAGTTATTTATAATATTCATTATACTTTTAATGAGGATTTAAAGTCATTGTTCTACCCGTTCGGCTAACGACCCTCCACCGATCAAGCAAGCGGTGGGTGAGAGTATACACCCATTAAGTCGCCATTTTATAGGCAACAACCTTATACCCACCTTATAGACCGGCTTCGTGAATGAGGCCTACTAACGGTAAAACGACTTATTCTTATACATATATATAATAATTAACCATTAATGTTATAAATAGTATAAGGGTTGAATTTTAACTATTAAAACTCTAAGGTTTGGAATTAAAGTTTATTAAAGTGTGTGAAACTTTACAAATTCCAAAACTTGAGGGCAAGTTTTGTAACTTTGCAAAACTCTTCATTTCATAACTTATGAATTAAAGGTTCATAAAAATGAAGACTCTTCATTTTCATGTAACTTATGTGTTTTAAGTGTGTGTTAAATGAAAGTGACCTTTGGTAATCCATAACTTGAGGACAAATTATGGACTCCATTAAAACACATAAATGATAAAGAATTAATCCTAAACAATTCAGCAAATAATTCCTATCATTTTCTAAATTCATAAGAACATGAACATGATCATCAAAAATTCAAGAATTATATGAACACATAAAATCATGGAATTTTGATATATGCTATTGTAAATGGATTAGAACAACCATTACACCAACTAAAATAAGTTTTATAACACCAAAACAATTTAGGGTAATGTTTCTAGTCCATTTCCAGCAGCAAAAGTCGAGATCTGCATCTTTCGATCCTACTCGTCGAGTGCATGAACTGACTCGTCGAGTAGGTTGAAGTTTGCCTTGGACTCGTCGAGTCCCCCCAATGGACTCGGCGAGTCCACCATGCAGACAGCAACGATTTCGACTTTTTTCACTATTTTGCATCAAGTATCAAACAAGCAAGCCTAGGCTCTGATACCACTGTTGGGTTTTGAGCAATCTAACACTTCCTAAGTGTGCATGCAACCCTAATAAACCTTGGATCTATGTTTGTCTAAATACATGCAAAATAATAATTTTCCAAGGTTTATAACCTATCTAACATGGCATGGGGAACATTTCAACATAAAAGAGTTAGAAGAGATTACATACCTTTTGGTGAGTTTGGTTCTAAGGAGTTTGAGGGCCAAGCACCAATAGTGTGAATGCCTCAAATGGAATCACAAACACCACAAACTCTTGGAAAACTTTGAGAGAGTATACACCTTGTATAAAATCGGCCACACACATGCACACACACACACTAGTTCACTAGTTTTCTCTTAGGCTCCATTTCATGCTCCATAAGCATGCTTATATAGTGTGCATGGTTAGGGTGAAACCCTAATAACCCATGTCTTTTCCTTTTCCAAGGATCCATGGGTTAAAAGCTCCATGGATCATCCATGGACTTCCACATAAGCCTAGCCCATTAACAAATGAGTATTAGCCCACACTATATAAAACAAATAGCCCATAATTTAATTAGTATTCCTTTTAATCTCTAAATTAATTCATGATTAATTTAAGACTAAAACTAATTAAATAACGTAACTTCATATTAATATATTATAACTCATAATATATTAATAAACATATGTGTATAACTCTCATAAAATTATCCATAATAGTTTGGATGAGATGCAACCCAAATGGACCATGCTGGTCGGGTCAAGTATATACCAAATAAGTTATGGACTTAGACACCTTATCCAACATAGAGTTCCTATCAAAACATATCTATCAATAATTTTCTAATTTAATACTCCAATCTCTGCTTTGAGCTCCAAAACTGATGGATTTACTCCCTCGGAACTCCCTGAACCAATAGATATCCCTTTGCCTTGGGGTGTAGGGTCAATATACTGTTGAGCTAAGAACCTGGCAAGCCTCTCTGAGGAAGCATTGTGCGCAGGTTGGGGAGTTGAAGAGCCACCAGTAGCTGAAGAGCTTCCGGCTTCAAAGGACGAATGAACAACATTGGGACCTTCATTCAGTATTGGGCTAACCACATTATCTGGTTGGGCTGTAGAGACAGTTGCAGGAGATTGTTGAACATGCTGAGCTTAATCCTTAATTATCACTCCCGGTCTTGGATCAACTCTTCTTCTTTTGAGTGGAGGCTGGGAAGCTTGTGTTTCTTGAAGATCACTCTAAGATAGAATAAAGGTTGGAGAACCAACTGCTTGGGGAGGTATCCTCACAGTTGAATCCAAATCAGCAGTAAGGTCGTCCATCTGATCGGGTGTTTGTTGTGGTAGCTTGAGAATATTTTTTTTTCTCCCTGATTCTCCGTTGGTGAAACACCAATATCATCAAAATTATCAAAGAACGAATTGAGGTTTTCTTCATTCGGCTCGAAAACAAAGCATAAATCATCATTAAAACCTGATAAATCACCTTTTTGATCCATTCGAGCTCCATCATCATCCTAATCATCATCAAAAGCTACTAGATCCATCCCAACATTACCTTCATCTTCATCATCATTACCTTCATCATCATCATCATCATCATCATTAACATTGATCAATGGAACATGCTCCTCTGCAACAATTGCGACAGGAGGAGTGGATTCATCTTCCTAATCAGAGATAATAACTTCATCATCTTCATTATCTGAGGCTACAACTGAATCTGAATCCTCACCAATCGCAGCAAAACGTCCAAACTTCTCTAAGGGCTTCGTTCCTTGAAACACAAATTTTGAAACCTTGCGGTTTTTCTTCATTAGGCCAAAAGTGCTTGGACCTAGAGACTTCAGATCCAAAGTTTCTCCCCTTCCTTTTAATTCAGGATATATTGCATTGATGATCATTTTGGGTACATTAAAAATGTGTCATTCCTCTTCCCCTATAAATTATTCTTCATTTCATTCAACACAAATCTTGAAAAATTGAATTCAAGATCCATGACAAGAGCAACGCTAGCGCCGATATTCAATGACGAAATTTCATCTACACCTGCTTTCCTGCCAGAGATGCAAATAACAAAGGAATAGGCAATAAAACGCCAGTATGGAGGGAACAACTTCTTTATTGTAGGAGGGAAGACTCCTTCATAACCCATTCTCTCAAGAATCTTCTCGATATGATCCATAGGAATTTTAGTTGGAAATCCTAGTTGATCCTTAAATTGATGCACATCTCGAATATCCTGCTCAGACACAATAATTTCTTTTACTTGAATAAATGATTCCACTGTGCCTTCCCCATTCGCTCCCCTTTTGTTAACAAAAGCTTTGTCCCAAAATTGCATCACTAACTCCTGATAGATAATGGGATTTGTTTGGAAAGCGTGAGCAAGTCTGCAGTTTTTAAGTCCATGAACCATGAACCTAAATTCTTGATGTGCCATTGGAGGATCCAACAAGCATGATGCAATATTGTGATTTTCTAAGGATTTTAGGCCTGCCAATTATCTGCATCCACTGAGTTAAGTGAGAATATTTAAAAATTTAAACAATTAAGATTAAATTTCTCAAATATAGGTTGATTTGGCTCCAAATTAATTTTATTCATGTTGAATATAAGGTTGATTAGGGGTTTTGGCCGAAAACACTACACTTAAAATTTAAAAATATTTGAATATTAGTTTTCAACCGCAAACGATTTCCAGTCGCAATTGCATTTTCGGCCACAAACGGTTTTCGGCCGAAAACACTTACTTTTCCAGATTTGACGAAGAACAGCGTCGGGAACACTTTTTGGCTTCCAGAATTTGCAAAAACATGGTCGAATATCATGAAGATTATCAGTGCGGGGTTCTCCTTCATCTTACCTAGAAGAATCGATGATCAATTTCAAATAACAACAACAAACTGAGAAGAATCGATGAAAGGGATTGATCAACAGTCAACAACATGAGAGAGACAAAGAGAGAGAGAGAGAGAGAGATAGAGAGAGAGAGAGAGAGAGAATGGGAGGGGTTTTCGGCTGCAAATGACAAAGTGAGGGTTATCAGCCGAAAATCCATTCTCTAAAGCCAAAAATCCATTCTCAGCCCAACACCCACAAACAAATGAGCTAAAAACGCAACCCTTTAAAAACCAAAAAATCCAAAAATTTTAATAAAAATTGAAACATTTTGACGACACAAAATTAAAAAATAAAATTAAATAAAATAAAAATAACATAAATTCTAAAATTTAAATGCAAACTAAAAGTTCAAATTTTAGAAAATAGAGATAAAAATAAAATAAAATAACAATAATTCCCTTTTCAAAATTAAGAGATTTTGGGATCATAAGTTTTGACACAGTCTTAACATGTTTTTCTGTACCTTCACCTTCATGAATAGATCTAGTCAAGTGTTAGCATTGTGGTCCACTTAAACACGAAGGATATTCACAAATTGGACATATTATGAGTGCAAGTCATTACTCTTACAATCTTAAATGGATCATTTAAACAACGACGACCAAGGGTATTGTTGTCCACTTAAATTTAGCAGCAATATGTACAAACAACCTATTAATTGATTCAATTTTAGATGAACTAGAGTATGTTTCCTACTTCCTGATATACCCTGGCAATCAAGTGCTTCCAAAGAATTCCTTACTTTAGATGAGTAGACAATTATTAGGAGAGAAGACAGACTCAAAAGTGCATATGTTATGCCCCAGGTCGGATCTGTTCCAATCATGCATATAGGACAACATATGACTAAAATAGATAGAGGGGTTGAGATATAGAAGGATGCATATGTTGTGTTCCAGGTCGGATTGTTTCAATCACGAGAAGAAGACATCATATGACTAACAAACATAAATAAATGCATAGATAAGAAGGTGCATAGAAATTGAGTTGCATATGTTGCATTCCAGGTCAGATATGTTCCAATCATGCAAAGGAAGCAACATATGACTGATAGATAGAAAGCAAGAAAACAATTTTCTACAAACCTACTTTATCAGAACCCCCTAGTTACCCTATCAATACCAAAATTAAGATCATGAGATCATACATCAAGGAAATGTTTAACCACAATTCTAGATATTTGATTTTAATGTATCCTGCAGATTCTTATGTTTATCTCACTGCTCAATCTACCGAAGCATCGTATTGTCAGTCCAAATGAGACTATCTAAGTTCATATTGTCTAGTCCTTTCATTGCCAATCAAAGTCTAGTCCTTTTTAAACCTTTCATGCCTACCAGCACATTGAACACAGTGTGTAGACAATTCAGATTCTTTACCTTACACTTGTTTAGACTGCCCTTTATCACTCAATCTTGATATTACTTCCGATAATGCTTTTGCTGAATCATACTCCCTGAATCCTTGTGCAATGTCAGTGGGTAGAGCCATTGTTAGAGTAGTAACAGCCTTTTCCTATTCTTCAGTTTTCTCAAAATCCTCATCAGTGTAGTCTTTCACTGGTTTGTCAATTATAACTCCATTTTCAAGGGTATTGGTAATCCTAACAAGGCCTCTAAGAATGTTGCGTAAGACTTTGAAATCTTTCATTTTGATATATTTTTCAATTTTGTATTTCCATTCAGGAAATCCTTCAGCACACAAAAGATGCAGAATTATTGTGGTAGTTCCCATGATTGAGTCTAGTTCCTGGTGCAAAGCAATGTGTTGTGGTTACATTTTTGTTGCTTTGGGGTTTTGGTTTTTTTTAACAATTTTTTCAATCAAAGAAAATTACAACTGAAAAACTTTTACAACAGAAATGGTTGCCAGCCAAAAAGGGTTCATAATCGAAAATGGGTTCACAGCCAAAACTGTTTCACAGTCGGAAATGTGTTCACAATCGGGTTTTCGGCCGAAAATGGTTCAAATGAAAACTGATTTTCAACCTGATGAACAATGGTTAACTGAAAACACCCAGATTTTGATGAAAAAGACAATTTCAAGCAGATTTGCAATCCTTTTGGTCTTGAATTCACGATCAACAGAAAAAACCCAGCAACAACAGCATCAACACCGAAAACAAAAGTCATCAACACCAAAAATAGATACCAAAAAGCCTAAAACAAGCTTAAACAAGTTGATACTAGATTGGCTCTGATACCAATTGTAAGTCCCCAAATCTAGAACCAACTAGTGATCAACAAACAAACAAGCCAAAATGATCAAGCACAAGAAGGAGCAGAAAACAGAATTGATCTAAATTGCACACATTTTATATATAGCCGAAAACGTCTGGCACAATGGACACTACACACACTTGACCGCAAACAGACTCCTGACAACTAACAAGATAGTACACTATTTATAGGGATCAGTAACAACAAACTAGTTTGCATCCAAAAACTCTACATGGACCGAAAGTGGGATGTTTTCGGTCCACCCAACCGAAAACCCACAAAATGCCTATACAAAGTGTATCAAATCCTAAAAAACATCCATGCCTAGCTCAAACCAATAAAATATATCTTAACATTCCTCAAGAATTGCCTTGACTTAACCAAGTTACTTAACATCCATACAAATTTCCCTCACAAATAAGACTCTCATCCTAGATTTTCCTAGGGTAACTCCATACCACTATCCACCATCAGCTGCAGAAGGAACTCCCGTTAACTCCATTTAACTAGCACGAATACAGTTACATATAAGTAAAACTAGATAATTCTTCGAATGAGAGGTCTTACACTACAATGGTTAGACCAAGACAAGAGCTACGCAATAGATTTAAAACCTAACTTTCTAAAATTATTTAGTTCATATAATATGTAACTTGGTATATCCACGTACTAGTTACTTGAAGTTAGATAGAGCTCCTAAAGGCTCAAAGCAAGCAACATTCGAGCATCAAGTAACCAGAACCAAGCATAACCTAATCATGCCATCCTATCATTGACTAATCAGTACCAGCATACAATTCTACAAGCTCAAACAAAACGCATCCAAAGGCATCTCTCCTAGCATTCTATCATGCAAAAACTGAGCAAATCCTTATCCCTAACTAGCATGTGATCCACGAATTCACAAATCATATCATATTAGTTAACATGTATGGGTAATTTTGGAAAACTTACTTGAGCTTAGTCAGTTGCATGCACCACATCATAGCAAATCCTTATCCCTAACTATCATGTTATCATTTCAAACACCAAGTCACAAATCACAAGCCTCAAAAACCATATCATTAAATAGTAAAATATCAGAGTACAACCCTAGGGTTCTCAAAGCGGAAATCATGTGTGTACGATGTGCTGCTACCCAGTCGGCTCCTCCCCTTTAGCTGAAGAGGTACTTAAAACAATAACTAAAAACTGTAAGCATGAAGCTTAGTGAGTTACCCCATTATACCACATACCATAAAATCATACATATTGTTAGGTAATTCTGGGGGGTGCCTAACCTACCCATGTCAAGCCCTTCTGGGATGTTGACTGGGTGAGTGCCTACCCTCCTGTATATCTCACCCAGTCACAGGGACTATTTCACCCCTACTACTTTCACATAATAACATATCATAAACATGCTGTCAGACATATCTGGGGTGTCCGACCTACCCTTCGGTCCTAATGACAAAATCTGGGGACTATTCCCCTCCTATTACCACTATCACATAGAACATATCATACTGGCACATAGAACACATCAAGTAATAGCAAACCAGACAATTATCACAAAGACAATCATCTCAACTATAATCAACCACTAGTGGGTCAGCCTTGGTGCCTTAGACCTACCTCTACTGAAGGGTATCTCATCTCAATGTCAAGTAGTGTCTGAACTATCCTCGGTGTAAAAATCGACTCTCCCCGACTCCTAAATCCCTACACGACAACTTTTCTAACTTATAAATTCATACTCATAACCCTTACAAGACTCACTCAAATCCAAGTTAAAGTCAAAT